GCTGCTTGGATGGCTGAGGTGGGAGAATTGCTTAAACTGGGGAGGTGGAGGTTGCAGTGAGCTGGTATCACATTCCTGGGCAACAGAGTGAGAATCCGTCTTAAAAACAAACAAACACAAAAAACAAAATAACAGTTGGAGACTCATGTGGGAGTTCCATAGGCACCTTCTATCTTATTGCTTTATTGTTCTAATATCAGTTTTCTCCTCATGATCTAAGAATGGCTGCTTCAGCTACTGGAACCACATTCACATTCCAGTCAGTGGTAAGGAACAGGAAGAAGGGAAGGGTACAGTCCTTCCCTACAAGGGAATAACTCAGATGTTATCACCTCACTTCTGCTTGCATCCCTTTGGCAAGAACTTAGTTACATATGTGCAACTAGCAACAAGACAGTTGGGAAATAGTGTGGAAATATTGTCTGTGTGCCCACTTAAAACCCAGAGTGGGTTTAACAATTCTATTGCTAAAATTAAAAAGGGAAGATGAATATTGGAAGGCAGTAACGTTCTGTGTTATAATCACCGTCTTTTGGCAGTTGCCATAAGAACTGGTTGAGTAGTTTTAGGTGTGAGTATATAATCTGGGGTAAAATGATTGTCCGTGGAGACACAATTATATTTATGCATATTATATCCTATTTCATGCAATTTTGTGTTTCTACCATCTAGCATAGTATACTACTAAAACACATAACAATATATTTGGAATGAATAACCATCTTCTTTTCCTTTCTTGTATGATCTTTATTAGGTATGTATTCTTTTTCTTCACTTACCATATATTCGTCCCTATCCATATTTCACTTCCCTTCTCAAAGGGGATTTAAGAGTAGATATGATCATAGTTTAGTATGATAGAGAAGTACTTTGGATCTCTGTGTTTAAGACTGTTTTTAAAATCTAATAGGAATCTGAATTAACTTATAACAGCAAAGGACCAATTTTTCCTATTGCCAAACTGACAGTTTTAACTTCTGTTATGTTTTAATTATCAATAGAGTAGCTGTATTCTTCTGAATATTCAGTACTGTGTCTGAGAATTCTGAAAATTTTTAAAAAATTGATACCTAAGGCCACCAGTTGGTTTGTGAAAATGTTTTCTCTGTACTTTATTTGTATATTTTATGTACTGACCAGCTATCCCTAAAGAAGATAAGGTAATCTGAGGAATAAAAGTGTTCTGACATTTTTTTTTTTTTTGTATCTCAGAATTAGCTATTCTAAAGACATTTTGGTCATTTATCTGTTTTTGGCCTTCTATTAATTTATAGATTCATTTGTTCTTGTGCTAATTTTTACTACACATTTTGAATAGCTCAGTTTTGCCCTCATGAGCTAAGAATGGCTGCTTCAGCTACTGGAACCACATTCACATTCCAGGTGTCAGGTGCCACATTCAGTGTTGGGAACATGAATATGCCTGAGACCTAGTCTGCACCTCACTCAACTGAGCGTCAGTGCCACCCTGTGTGGGGAGTGCTGTGCCCGGCCTACACTGTGGGGCAACCAAGGGGGAAGCAAAGAGCTTGTGAGATGATGGGGGCAGGCGGGATGCCAACATGATTCACGTGAGTGTTGATCGTTGAGAAATAATATGGAAATAGTTCCATTTGATGGGAGTGATGGATACAAAATGTGAGTTAGAGATGCAACTGGAGAGCTGGATCATGGAGGGCCCTTTCTATGCCATGCAGAGGAGTGGGGACTTAACGTCCCCAGGTCAGTGGCTTTCAAACCTTTTTGTCCATGACCCACAGTAATGCCGATGTTTTTACATGGTGACTTGTTACTAGGCCTGGGCCTAACATTTTCAGGACCTGGGCAAGAGGACAGATGGTAGCATAGATACATGCAGTATAGCTAAATATTTAAAACTCAAGGCAAAAAACTGTTAGAAAAGGATATACTAACCTACCTTGACAAATATACCTTATAATGAAAAATGATACCAAATAACTGAGAGTAGTACACATTTAAAATCAATTTTGTCTTCCACCAAAAGACTGAATTTACCCTGAGGAAATGCCAGGGCAGTGGTAACTGGGCCAAGCTGGAGGAGAGGAGGGAAAGGCTCACTCAGCCTTCTCTGCCAATGGCCATGAAATCTGTAGATAAATACTTCCTTTCTCTTGGTCTTTTTTGGGGGAGGGTCTCTTTCATTTCTGCCAGAGGCTCTGTGCCCCTACTTGTTGCTCCTTCTTTATACCCAACAGTCAGGCATTGAGTTCCAAAGTGATCTAGTCCATGCCAATCCAGTCCAAGGACAACCTCTGGCCCCCAGGTGCTCTCAGCCACAAACCCTCACAGGAGGCTTTGCATTAGAGCAGGAATGTGAAGGAGTAGTGAGACAGCTGGCTTCTACCTTCTCTGCTACACCTTTATCCATTCCTCCAGGGCCAAGGGGTGTCTCTAGCCCTCAGGTCCAGGCCCCATCATTAGTGGACAATCTTTGGCCACTCCTTGGACTGGAGGTACACACATGCTAGTAGTACCACCTGACCTGAAGAAGGGGCCCATGTAGGTCAGAAAAGCTGCTTAAGGCCATTTGGGTAGAGAATGATGGCGACCTTGGTAGTCAGAGCTTCAGGTGGAAACAGAAACTCCTTGGCTAGTAGAAAAGAGCACAGGAAGAGGAAGGCCAGAGCAAAAGCTTCCTGTACACCGTTGGTCGATCTGAAGGGAGGGAGGACACTGGTTATGAGGCCTAAAGATGATGAAAGTGAGGATAGAGAGGAGGGGAGGGATGTAGAATCTGCAGGTGTTGATGACTAATTAGATATTGGGGGTGCAGAAGAAACCTAGAACAGTGCCATGATTTCTGATGCATAAAATCATGCATTGTTTTCATGTACCATGTAAAAACATCCTTACATGCCACAGTGTGACATTCAGGTAATATTTTGTTTGTAATTTGGATATATGGGTCAAGATATGGTGAAAGAAATGTTTTCATTTGGATGGTTTGTTAAGATGTGAATTTCTAGGCCCCATCTACTAAATCAGAATCACCAGGAGAAGTCATGGGAGCTTGCAGGTGAGCAAACTCTTACGGTGATTTTGAGCCACATCTGTACCCTAGAGAGTGGGAACAGTGTTTCAGGTGGCCTGAGAGCTGAACTCTGGTGCTCACAGGAGGTGGAAGGGAAGTGGCAGACAGACACTGGAAAGAAGTGGGTAGATGTCTGATGAAAAAGAGAAGTTTAGTAAAGTAAGGACGGTGACAGGGCTCGTGCATTTAACGTGGGAAGCTTCTGATAAACTTCAGCAAAGGCAGATTGTAGTGGTTCAAGGAGTGAGTATGTTGGGAGATTAGGAAAGGGAGATAGATGATATAGGATATAGTCTATATCCTTCCAGCAAATTTGATTGTAAAGCCAGAAGAAAGAGAGATAACAAAGCAAGGCACAGATTTGAAGGAGGCCTTTAAAAACAATTCTGGAACACTTATGTGATGAAGGGAAGAGGAACCTGTGGAGAACCAGATATTGAAGATATGGCAAAGAAAAGGAGTAATTGATACAGACTGGTTTAAAGGGAGAGGAGAGATGCATTTTAGGACCCAGGAGGAAGGAAACTTAAGCAGAAGAAAGAACACTATTGGCTTCTATACAGTTATGAAGGAGGAAGGGCATGCATAGATGCAAAAAATTATCTTAACAGACATTTGGACACAAACTGTAGGCACAGTTTAGGGGTTGTGGCTACAGAGGTTAATAAGGTATAGCTATAGTTTAGTGGGGGAGATAGACAAGGAAATCAGCAAGATAACATGTGGCAAGTGTTAGAGATGGTGGAAACACAGAGGAGGGCATGAGACAAGGCTTTGCAGAATTGGAGAGAGGGCAAAATATGAAAATGGGCTTTGCAGAATTGGAGAGAGGGCAAAATGTGTATATTACATATGACACATATATGTGTATGTATTTTACATATATCCACACACACATACAATCACACAATTATAAGCATCAGCTGAAACGTTATTTGGGAGGACTTCAGAAAATGAATGTTTATGACCAAGGAAGCTTCTTCTTGCTTATCCTTCCCTTTCCCCTTTGATGACTTTTCTTGAGGCTAATTTAGATACAGAAAGCCACCGCTTCCAAAAGTGCTTTGGTACCCTGGCATAATTTCAAAGAAATCTCCTTTCCCACTTAGTTAACTACATTTCTTCAGGAAAAAGAGTCTTCTCTGTCGATGTAACATCCTTTAACAGAACTCCTGCTGGTTGGTTCTTGTATCTTGCTGTGGCAGCTGTGAACATATATACTATTGATTGTTGATGTGTGATATAAATCCGACTGCAGCATGCCCACTAATTGGTTTGAGAGCTAGATATAGACAATGCTGTTTTATAGTAGCTTGTGTAGATAGGCCTAGTCATAGGGTTAATTCTGCTTGACAGCACATCAGCAGCATCTTGAGAGTAATTACCTAACAGAAGTTTTCCCACAGCCAAACTGAGAGCTTCAAAGGCTTCTGAATTTACAACTAGTATTAACCAATATCTGAAACATAATGTTCCCACAAGAGCTCAGATTTTTTTTCTCCTTCTTATTAAATGTATGAGGTTACTAGGTTCATTTGCTGTGTGCTAAGAACTTAGTGAAAAGTTACTTGGTGTTGAATAATTTCAAATCTTGAATAATAAAGAGGATAATTATGAATTTGTTTTTTTATTGCTTTATTATTGTACTGAAACAAGTTAATCTGTAAAAATCAGATGCCTTTTAAAAAACATAGTTTATCCTGTTTCACTCAAAAACCAATTTAAAAAGTTAGTATCTTTTCTATATTGTGCCATCTGTATTGATACTTGCATATTTAGAGGGTCTAGGGTAATGCCTGTATTTAAAATGGTTATGATACATATGTATTTACATTTTAGAAATATACACTGAAAAATGTAACTATTACCTCCCCTCCCTTCCCCCCATGAAATAACTGTTTTTTTACAAAGAGTTTTTATATTATAAAAAATTTCTTTATCTTTGCAGATCAGAAACGAAATTTGACTCCGGTTCAGGTATGTTTACATTAATAATGCTATTCTAAATATATTTTATTTACATTATTATCTGAGGAGTAATTCATCAGATCAAGAATCATTTTTATTTGAAACAGACTGGGCAGTCTCTTTTCAAAATGAGTCCCCCCTTAAAGCAGGGCTATCGACTGCTTCAAATCATAATTTGAGATGTTCACTTAGGAGTTTTCATAGTTCTGCAATAAGCATTACATGCCCTGCATCTGCAGAGTTTCATTTCAAAAGCAGAGGTGGGGGTTGTTCATTCTTATTGCTCAAAATAGATTATTATTTTCTCAGTGGATAAAGCATCCTGAGTAATTTGAATATTCTCTTTAGGTTATCACCAAATGTAGGAGATGGTTGCGTTTAATTCAGCAAACTATAGAGAGTTCCAGCCAATAGAAACGGAAATTTGTCTATGATTTATTAGCTTGTTTTTTCTAAAAAAATGTTTTATTGCTAGATGGGCTATAGAAAATGAAGGTTACATTAAGCCATTATTTTGAATCTATTAGGATAAAATTTATATTCTCACAAGCAGCAGCATATCAGCTTCATTAGACATTTTCTTTTAATTAAGCATGAATGTAGCCATATAATTCTCAGGTTTGACTATGTTATTATGTCACTTGTTGAGATTTATGTGCTTCAGAATTTCTGATGGCATTTACAATTAAAGGACAAAAATTGCCTCATGTTTCATACAAAGGAATTATGTATGTCCTTTGGTAGACTGTTAACAGATAAGTAAACATTAGTTTTTGAATTCGAGGAGAAAATAATTTACAGAAAAATATGTAACTTGTTTAATTTAAAAGTAACATTTTTACTCTGGTTCAAGTTTCACTGATTTGTAACTTTAAAAATGTTTTTACTTATTATGTTCACAAAGCAACAATTGTTATATATTCTTTTTGACAGTGGTGTTAAGGAGACAACATACTTTTTCTTCTTTATAAGCTTTGTCGTTCTTTTCTTGTATGGTTTTGTGAATTTGGTGAGACACATTAATTATGAAGCCTGTATATTTGAGTTAACAAATTCACCTAGTTTGAGAACCATGACTCCAGAAATCTTTCTATTCTGTGTCTTCTGCAGCTTCTGAATCATATATATGAATGATAGTATAAAATAAACATTTTTGGTTGAAAACATTGACTATGTAGAGACTAATGGTGGGATGGCATTGTATCAACTATTTGACTCACTGATTCACAAAGGACTCAAATAAGGCCAAAAATCTTTTTTATTTTTTTACAGTTAAAATATTTAAGTATAATTAAAAATAAATGAATAAAGTTGATGGAAAGTACATTTTTACATAAAAATTACATGTCTTATTTTTTTCTCTGCCAGTCACCAAATATTTATTAAGAACCCACTTTTTTATGATCTGCTATAATTCCCTAAACATCAAGTGAGAAAGTGGTTTTAGGGTACAAGGTCTGGAATATAGCTTTTAAAAATGAGTAAGTCCACTCAGTTCATTTTGAAGGTAGAACCTGGAAGTAGTGTACAAGACTGAAATATTAGGCAGCTATTGTCAAAGTCAGATAATTTATGTTAACTTTTCAAATCCAAATTAAAGTGTGCTGCTAAATTCCTGTACTGAAGGTAAGTATTTATCATGAAAATAGTTATAACATCTGTACAGGCATACATCTTTCACTCTTGCGAGCAAAGATTTTGTACATGATTTATTTATTTATTTTTCAAGTTCTTATTTAAAAAAAAAATCTATCACGGACAACATCTGCCTGTCTTTGAAAACTACAAAGTTCTGTATGCTGAAAAGTCTTATAGGGGAATACTGATTAAAAGTTTATTTATTCTTTTAATTTTAAACTTAAATAGGTTGTGGAAAGAATTCAGATGTTTTCAAATTAAGAAACGGAATTGTTTTTTCTTAATAAGCTCCTTTTAGCTTATGACTGAATGAAAGAATCATAACAAAGGAAGCTAGAAATATATTCTTTGGTATCCTATATCGTGCAAATTTTGGTTAGAAGTAAGGTAGCATAGGGACCTCCTCAGTGGCTCACATCTGTAATTCCAGCACTTTGGGAGGCTGAGGCAGGTGTATCACGAAGTCAGGAGATGGAGACCATCCCTGGCTAACACAGTGAAACCTCGTCTCTACTAAAAATACGAAACAACAACAACAACAGAATTAGCCTGGTGTGGTGGCACGTGCCTGTACTCCCAGCTACTCAGAGGTTGAGGCAGGAGAATTGCTTAAACCCAGGAGGTGGAGGTTGCTGTGAGCAGAGATGGTACCGACAGAGCAAGACTCCATCTCAAAAAAAAAAAAAAAAAAAAAAAAGAAGGTAGCATATTGGAACAATTAAATGTATGACTTTAATAGGTTCAGATTCTCTATTGTTCATCAAATACAGAAAGTAAACTAGGTCTGTTTAATGTTGTATACAGCTGTGACAAAGTAAGATTTTTAAATGAAGGAATATGCCAATCTTACTGAAAAAGAAAAACAGAAAAAATAAATACTATGGTCAGTGACTAGCCATAATGGAAAGGATTTAAAAGTCAAATTATATGTAAACACACACACACACACACACACTCACAAGTATATCAAGGAAAGTGCCCAACTTATGCAGAGCTTACTGTACAACAGTTTTAGTTTGTGTACATAAGTTTTAAGCTGTGGAGTGATATTCAGGAGGAAGGAAGGAAAGTTTTCATTGCCAGTGCATAGTAAAAAGTTTCATTTGTTAGATGTATGCCAAACGATTAACCTAGACATTGATTTAAATGTTTTCTTATCAGAATTGCATTTTTTTCTACAAAAGCAAATCCTCAAACAACCTCCTTGTGCTTTTGAATTAACAATTTTTGTATAATGAAAAAAATTAAGCCATGTATAAAAGTAGAGAGTATAGTGTGATTAGCACCCATATAGCCATCATCTAAATGTTACCTTTGTTAATTATTTGCCAAATTTATTTTACCTTTTTTTTTTTTTTGCTTAAAATATTTTGAAGTAAAATACATACATTTCATGTGATTTTTAAAATCTGGAAATTATAGATGGTCTTGACTTATCAAAAGGAGTCGATGTTTTGAGATTTTCATCTATTTTAGGAATTTGAGTCACATACAAATTATTGTGGAAAGGATTGTGGCATTTTCATATCCACATCCAGTTGAAGACTCTTTGAAAGTTCTGTTTATGGTGAATTGCATAGGTAAGAAAACCTTCAACCAGAAGGCAGAGGCCCTAAATTAATTTTGACCTGAGAACTCCAGAAATTTTCTATTCTCAAAATTAATTTGGTTAAAATGTCAGCTGCCATTTAGCTGTGGTCTCTATGTACTGAGTAATAAACTGATTAAAAACCTTTTCTGTTGATTTACAACTCAGTCACCTTAAGTTTTTGGCTTTGCCAATTGAGAACAGTCAGCTTACCTTCTTTTCTAAAGGAGTTTTAAGGTTTCCATTTTCTACCTTTTCCCAGTTGATGTACTAATGTTGATTGCCTAGGATTGTGTGGAGTTGGTGATTTTACTAATAGAGTAAAACAGACTTCCTTTTATGTTCAGAAGTAGCAAGAAGCTATACTCTTCTCCCCACCTCCCAAGAAGGGAAGTTAGTTGATGCTGGAGGAAACAGAGCATTGAGTTTAATGTAGTGATTAAACATGAAAGTCATATATCAAATCTCAGGAGAAACATGCTTTTGAAAGAGGCAGAGAACTGTGGAGCATACTGCGTGATAGGCTATATAAACAGAGCCCTGGAGGTCAGTGTGTGGATGCAAACCAATTAAATAAAAGAACTTACTGGCTTTGCTTTCTATCATCTGGATGGGGAGGATCACAAGTTAACATTCACAGGATTGAAGTGTAAACTTTGCTTAAATAAGCTAGGCACCTTTGGAAATTTTATTAACTCTTTCAATCCACTGCTAACATATACTTTCAAAAACCAAAGTCCCTGGGAAGTTAAAAAAAAATCCAAAATACATGTTATTTTGGCCCTCTGTACATACTCATTGGCAAAGGGTAATGAACTAGTAATGAGTAGGATGGAAGAAAAAGTGAAGGATGAGGGTGAAAAGACCAAGAATTGGCTCTGTTGCCAAATTTCGAGAACGTGCATGTCTTTCAAAAACAACCCATTTGGAAAAGCAGAGCTCTTGCAGAATAACTGAAAAAAGGTGTTTTTCTCTTCTGAATTCTGGGTATAAGGATATAGGTAGAATTTACTAGTCACTAACATGACATCAGGATATTGTTATTTCTGTTCTAATAAAGTAGAATAGCTTTCTGATGAAGAAGAATCTAACTTACTTATAAGTTAATAACTGAATGTTAAGGACAGCTTGTACTATAATTTTGTGGTCCCAACCTTATCAGGCAATGTTTGGGTGAGAAAATGAAATACCATGTTAAATGGTATAGATTCATGGTCCATAAACATTCAAAACAAAGAATTTCTTTTCTATAGAGTCATGTTGGCTGAGAAAGTGAATAAGCTTATGTTTAGTGCTTGTTGATTCTGGGCCACTTGGAATAGCTATGCTAAGGAAATGGGCTCATAGAACACAGCAACTGAAAGATATAAGATTTCATGAAAGCAAATTATGGAGGATTAAGAAACCTAATGAGCATGGTTTAGTGTGGGGAGTTGAGGAGGGAGCTCACTATTAAATAAAGCTAAGAGTGTAGAAGGTTAGGAGATCCTAAAAGACATGATTATAAAAGGCACAACAGAATATAATTATGCTGAAAGAGGGGGGAAAATCCAAGGAACAAAAAGCAGCTAGTGTCGCTTTTAGGATTTGTAGTTAAAAAGGAATCTACACTGGGGTAAGGAAATCAAAGAACATAATCAGTTAAAGCTTGAGACAAGAACATAAGGGCAGGGAAAAATAGAATGGGGCTGTTAAGGTGGTCACTAGGTTGAAGGGAAATGAGGAATTTGAATGTAGTAGAACTGGAGTTTTGAAAGCTTATTAACAAATGAGAGAATTTGCC